TCCAATATAATAGCAGAATTTAACTATAAGATAAAACATTAATTAAGTATGAATTAAATACATAATAAACAAATATAAATTAAATAAATTAAATACATATTACATAATTATAAATTAAATAATCCGGTACACCTTCCACAAACACTGATCCTCCACTAAAAGGTCCTGGCTGATTCTGATATAGAAATAAAAAATACATAAAAATAAAATAAATACATGAATAAAAACAAATTTTCCACCGAAATTTTTTTTATTTAAATAGCTGAATAAAATGTTATTACCTCAAATCCCGAACCCACTTGATAATAAAGGGGAAGATTTTTAAACACCTGTGTTGCTTCTGCAAAACCTTGCGAGAGATCCCCAATTAGTAGCTCCTCGTCTTCCAGAAATTCTTGCGTAAATTCTCCCAAAAGCTAAAATTAGAGTTAGTGATTGAAAAAAATATATTTATGTCAAACAACAATTAATATTCTTTAACAAACAAAAATTATCCAGTAACAAATATAAATTATGAATAACAAAAATTATACAACTATTACCTCATCATCTGATTCATTAAATTCAAAACCTGGTTCACTAAAATCCGTTCCATCATCATCATGCTATAAAAAAACAAATTTCACTATCTTTATAAATAACAAAAAAAAAGTTTGGTAAATTAATTCAAATATACAAGTATAAAAAAATAACTTGCGAATTTTATAAATAAAAGCAGCTTATTAACTCAAAAAAAAAACAAATGGACATTAAGAATGAAGTAAATATAAATAAAATCAAAACTCAAAAGTAAATAAATACATTTAAAAAGCGCTAATGTAGCTCAATACTCACTAACTTTTGAATATACAGAAAAATTACAACTAATAGCAGGTAAAATAAAAAAACAGCTTAAAGGTAGAACACAAATAAAACTTAAGATACTCCATATACTTTAAGAATATAAGAAAATATAATTAAAAATGTAAAATAAAAAAAAGAATTAATAGTAAAATAAAAGAAAAGAATTAATTAAATAGAAATTGTTCAATAAAATAATGACAGGAATATTACTTTTTTTTTCAGAATCAGACTATCTTCCTCGCTTAGACATCGCTGGTCAGGTAATTCACTCAACGCAAATCAATAATAACAACAGAATATAGCTACACAAAAAATTACAACCACAACATGGGGAATAATATTTCCAACATAATTATCATCCGTGAAGCAGCTCTATATATACTGATTGTTATCAACACTATTGCTCATAGATAAGCTCTAACTATGTTCTTCCCATATCCTCATGTATATAGATAAACTATATCCTTACAGTTGTGATTAACTAATAAAATGTAGATAAAACTTAAAGAATACGGAGATCTATCTTGTTAAATTTTGTGAGAAATAGTAATAATCCCACGATCAATAATCAGTGATATACTTTAAATTCTCACTTACTGATAAAATGTTCCATACCGGATAAAACTCAGATGTCATATAGTAAGATTTATCTTCTTAAATTTCATGAGAAATCCTCTCTCTGTAAACAGTATGAAGCACTATGTTATACTTTATATTGTGAGTAATTAATAAGACTAATTCATAATATTCAATATCTCCCCCAAATAGTGACGTAGATTTTCGCCTAAGATTAGAAGGAAGTGAAGGTCCTATCTTCCCGGTGGCAACAAAATTCCAAGAACTTACACTCTTTCAGGTTTACCTTAGTCGAGTGGTTTATCTCATTATTGGCGAATCTTTAGTGAGCGCAAAAATATGAAATTTCATGCCCTGTCTATGATTGGACAGATTTATTACTGTCTCTAGGCTTTAGAACATCTTACGTCGAAGTATCTTGCACACGTGACTGTCATTAAAGATGTACTATTTCTTAACTTGGAAATAGATTCGCAGTTGCACAAAGATATTATTTAGTCTTACTCAATTAAGTCATTTTATTATGATATTGAACACAATAAGATTATATTACTTCACCATTTATGTCTTTTAAAATCACATTAAAAGGTGAATTTTATTATACATGATTTTAACATTCATATCGCTTGATTGTTATCGTTAAAAAAATTTAAAAATGATGTTAAAATAAATTTAGACTATCNTTGTTAAATTTTGTGAGAAATAGTAATAATCCCACGATCAATAATCAGTGATATACTTTAAATTCTCACTTACTGATAAAATGTTCCATACCGGATAAAACTCAGATGTCATATAGTAAGATTTATCTTCTTAAATTTCATGAGAAATCCTCTCTCTGTAAACAGTATGAAGCACTATGTTATACTTTATATTGCGAGTAATTAATAAGTCTAATTCATAATATTCAATATCTCCCCCAAATAACAAAGTTTACAAGTGTTGCCATCCTTAAAAACTAATATTAAAAATAATAAGTGTTGCCACCCTCAAAAAGTAATAAATTAAAATAGTATTTAAAAAATGAAACTAAATTAAAAACAGAAACCGAAACTAAAAATATATTAGGCTTAAGAAAAAGAGAAATAAGCTCCCCAACGTTGCAGGCGAAGCTTCGATTTCAGAAGGGCAGAAATAAGCCACTTTCGGTTTATATGTGAGCAGAAATAAGCACTGGTTGACTTTGGGTGATGATGTCACTTCCGTCTCCGATAGTGGGTGGCCTACTACTCTTCTTTCTCAACTTTAAAAGCATCGTGTACTTCTTCGCCGAGTTCCATTGCAATAACCTGTAACTCTGACTTACGTACTTTAGATAAATAAGACATCGTAAATTAAGAAAGAAAAGAAACATAAACAACAAAAAAAAAATTTTTTTTATCCCACTTCTGAATTGTAAGAGATATTTAACGTATATTTTAAATATATCTTTATTTAATCGTATTCAAATCCAAACTAGACATAGAAAAACATAATAATTCCAAAACAACATTTACGCACGTTGCAACAAGTCATACTTATGCTCGCCCTTGAAACATTTAGCTGCTTACATTTTGCTTAAGTATAATTAAAAAAAATGTGGATAATTTTTACAGCAGAAAATTTTGTTCCCCCTCCCCCCAAAATAATCACTAAATTTTCATTGTAATGTATTTTTATTACTTTTAATAATTTGATTGTTAACGTCATGCTGTAGCCACAATGGGCTGTTGACAACGGTCAGGTTATCATACTTAGTAATGATCTGAAGATAATCCGTACCTATCCTGCTCTATTACAATTAGGATATAGAAATGTAGATTTTAATACATCAACTGTTCGCAGTTACACGCTTCTCAACTACTTATCAATTTATTTGAAAAACAAAAAAATTTAATAATTTTGTTATAAATTAAGTTGAATAATTATAATTGATATAATATAAAATAAGATATTATATAATAATATAAAATCAATATTTTGCTCATTTCGTTAATTTATTTTGTTTTCTTGTTCTTTTCTCCCTTCATTCACTCGCTATATCAAGAATAATTTTTAATAGTTATAGCAATCGCTTAGCATTGCTAATCCATAATAATGCACACACTTTAAAAATCTTCTTAAACAATTTTAAAATTATCTGAGGAATAAATAGTTCTACTTGAAAAATACAACTGGAACACACCAAAGTTTTGTTTTTTTAGTTGCATGTACAGCTAAAGGAGTGGGCAATATCAATTTAAGAGAAAAAAATGCTTCTTTTATGGCAATTGTTGCAAAGCAATAAAATTTAGCTTTTGTATAAAAACTATGTAATAGTATTTTTCTAGTTAATAATAAATATATTTAGCTTAAAAATGTACTTAATTATGACAAAAAGCAACCTATCCCTAAAAATAGTTTCAAAATTATGCACCACTCTGTCAAAGAAATGATTATTTCAACGAAAAGACTATGTTTATGGAATGCCTTTATCAATTAAATAACCCTGACAATGAAAATGATCCTGGCAACAAAACCTCCTAGTAGACATAATGTAGTTTTTGAAGCAGTGTGGTGAAATGACCTGACATTGAAGTGAGTGCCAAGGAAGTAAACCAGACCCAAGAAATGTTTTTTTAAGAAGTTTGCAAAACTGGCTGAAACAATTTAAAAAAATTCTGAAGATGGTAAAAGTCATAGGAAAACATTTGTTTTTTTTACTAAGCATTAAAAACTGGGAAAAAATAAATTTTTGCAAAGGTAGTAAAAACGTTATGGTAAATACTATACCTTACCAATCCTAACTAAAGTGGAAATTGTTTCCATTTTTAAGTGTATTAATACCTATTGATTACAGGCATTGCTGGTTGATGTTGATTTTTCATTCCTTACAACACAATGATGAACTATAATTAATTGCTATGCAACAAAAAATACTTTTGAATATGATAATGAAGTATTTTAAAATTTCTAGATCAGTGAATCTTGCTGCACATTTTAGTCTTTTTTTTTTAAAATAAAAATTAAATGATTATTTTATATGTCTTCTTAATCATTAAGAATTACTTAAAAGAGTTAATTTAGAATTATTATCTCCCATTTTTTTTCTAATTCTGTGTCATTTTTTCTCATCTATTCAATTCACACTTTTTTTTATTTTAACATCTTTATGTTCCATGAACAGTGAATAAAAAAAAGACTACCTTGAATAACTTAATTATCAGGTTGTAGGATTCAATCTTAATGGTGCTAGGGGATAATTTCAAATATGCTCATTAATTAGTAGAGATCCTGTTTTAGGTTACAAAATCAGATAAAAATGTACTTTCTCTGGAAAAAAACTACCCTTCCTTCACCTTCTGATCTCCAAATATAGAAATTAGCCACTAACTGGGTTCTGTAGTTTGGTCAGTTCCTGAGAAATCGAATTTTAAAAAAATACAATTTTATACTTGCTCTTGTCTATGCATCTCGTGTAACTATATACAGACAAGCGAGATATTGTTTCCTACGTATTTTTTCTCGATTAAGCAAATGAAAACTAACACAAATCAAAAGATCTAATATTTCAAAAGTTGCAATATTTTATATATCTATTCATATATATTAGTACCATTTTTTAAAATAGTACTTATGAAGTTATTAATTATTTCAAAACAATTTATATTATCTACTTGAAATTTATCCTCATTCACTTCAGCATGAAAAACTACATCAAAAAATGTATCTGACAGGTTCGGGTAGACTCTAAATAGTCTCATTCGATTCATTGCTATCAAATATTAGATGCATAAATAGGAGCAAATATACAAATTTGTACTTTTTGTACATAAAACCCGTATAACTTCTAAACTATTAGTCTGATTACTTTGAAATTGATTTAATTCAATTGAGCTTGGAAAAATTCTTCCGAAACAATGACTCGTGCCTGTATGAAAGAAATTCGATTCTATCTCTCGAAGCACACCAATAAGGCGAGGAGGGGAGTTTTCAGGTAATATTTAGAATGGCATAACAAAGCTATGTGCCAAAAAATACTTACGGTGTTAATTTTTTGTGAAGGAACACCCTTTTTATTGATATAATTACTGTACTTAGATGTACTTCTTTGAAATTGCAAGAGAAATTGTGTTGACAACCAATTTTCGGTACTTGCTTATTTACTTTTTACAAGATGTTTTCTAGAGGGAACTCTGTGCTTCCTCACACAGCATAGCATTTTTCTCCTTCTCAGTCATTTGTAAATAGTAATTTTCATATTTAGCTCTTAAAAAATTCTTGTTAAAACTTCAAGTACGCATTTATTGTTTCTTCATCACTATGCTCAGGGATGAGATTAGCCAAAACGCAAAAAAGCTGAATTTCCACGATAGTAAATTTTACGCAAGCGCAACCCTTTAACAATAAATCCCAGACAGTTTAAGGTAATAAATAATGTGTTGACATACAATTGTGTACTAATCTATTATTAAGAGTTTAAGAGAGAGTGAAATAGATTTAAAAAAAACNATTTGAATTTTCTGTTTCTCTTTGAAAATCGGTGAATTTTCTGAAAAAGCGGAATACTTATAAAAAAAAAATGAAATTTTTAGAAAATCTGAATTTTTGATAAAAAAAGCTGAAATTTAAGAGATAAAAGTGAAAAAGCGGAAATCCGCTAAAAAGCGGAAAAATCTCATGCCTGTATGCTTAAATAACTCTACATCCAGCCCAAAACTTATTAGCTGTGTCACAAAAAAAAAATATAACCTTTACCTTATCCAAAGAATTGAAAACGTGAAATATTTTTGGCTTGAAACAATTTTGCAGATTTAATAATTTTTAATTTTAAAAATTTTCATAATTGGTTTGTTCAAGAATCTATATAGTTCTATAATCACAGATAGGGAGTTAGTTTTATGCACTAGGATATACAGTTTAAACTACTGTTGCGAAAATGTAAAATTTTGTTTTCACATGAAAAGCATTGTATAAAATAAAATGGTAGAACATTTATGCGTAAACTAATCTCATATTTTATACTGTACGAGCGTACGCTTTAATTTTAAAAGCATCACAATGGCCTGATTACAGATAAAAATATAAATATTTATACATTTAATAAAATATGGTGATTAAATAATGCCCCTTTTTATCCATAATTTAATAAGTTTTGAAAATTAAAAACAAAAATGTGTTATCAGTTTTTCTTTTTGCAAAGAGTTCATGGCATGGAAACATTGGTCCTTAATGGATTAATAAACATTATAAAGAAATATAAGTAAAAAAAGATAGGAATAAAAAAATTTTCAGAATGGCTAATTATTTAACAATTATTGAAGCTTAGAAAATTATAACTATTTGAAGAAGGACTACTGGTTCTTAAAATGGAATATTTAAAAATGTATTTAAAAAAAATATGTAATCCTGTTAGATGAAGTCTGATATTATTTAAATCCTAAATGAATAAATATTTTTTATATTTTAACATTAACTGACATTTTTCGCTAAAACATTGACATTTTTTCAAGGGTGTTTTAAATGTTTGAAACATTAGAACAATAGTATCAAAATTAATATTCAGTTGGGAAAAAATAACAAATTTTCTAAAAAGGTAATTCTAGTCAGTAGCTATTAATGTTTACCTTGGAGTTAAAAATTACATGCCAAAATAATACCAAGTAGAAGATGTTTTGAAGCAATCAGACAATTTTAATAATCATAACCAGATGTATAGTGCAGCTTTCAGGAGAACTCCAGACACCGGTCTCGTCTCGTGGCAGGTACCATGGTTATGAGGAAAAATCATTTCAAATAGGGATGTGGGGTGAATAGTTTTGTCTTGATCTTTTCATAGGTCAGCATGAGTAAACCAATCAACACTTTCATTTCTCCATTTCACCCCAATTCGAAATGCACTCTCCGTTGTTACCACAGAAACAGACAATCCCAGACTTTCAGTCTGGATGAGTTCACCTCAAAGCCACACAGTAGATTAGTCTTTCAAAATATTACTTAACTTCAATAGAGTAAAAAAAATATTAAAAAAACTTTCGTTAAAAATAATAATTTAATTAAATATATTTTTTATCTTTGTACATAAATTTCAAGTTCCAAATAATATCAACAATTACAATTTTTTTTAATGGAACAATTTCCAGAGTAAAATTTTCTAGAATAACTAAACAATGCCAGTCAACAATAAAATATGAAGAACAATGCATACTAATTTAATTCTTAAAAATAATGTTTTTATGAGAACTATTCATTCATGTTAAATCTTATAAGCTCTACAAGATTACTGGGGAGTTTTACAGGTTTCATTAGAAGTTTTTTTTGTTCCCTCTCCCACTTTATACAGCCAAGGCACAAATTATGTTTTTTACACTGAGAGACACCTTGCAAAAAACCATCACAATTTCTCTCCCTGCAAAAGAAATAAATTTGCATTATTACAAAGATATCAAACAATTTTGAATGTTAAACACAGAGGTCAGAAAAACATTATTTTTTTTTAGTTTACTACAACTACTTTGTAATAAATATAGTTACTTACAACTACTTTTTTTTTTTAAAATGCAGTGACTACAAACTACTTTGAAATTGTAGTAACTACTTGACTACTTTACGGAGACAGACTTTGCTGGAGAACTTAATTTACACCTATGTTCAAAACAGTCTTGAATAAGAATTTGGATTACATTAAATAGAAGGGAATAATTAAGAAATATTTATTCATATTTACTGTTTTTCAAAGATATTTTTTTCTGAATTTGTTCATTTAACCTTCGAATTTTTATATGTTTCCCCACATTTTAAATGCATTGCCTTAGTTTAATGAGAAAAAAAATCTAATTAAATTTTAAAATATTTAGCAAGCAAAGATTGGAAACAGTAGTAGTGAAATTTTTTAAAAAAATGAAAAATTGGTAATTTTTTTTCACTTTTTTTTCTGCACTTGGATACACATCATGAATCAAAAAATATTTTTAAGCACTTTAAAAAAAATATCATATTAGGCAGGGTTGGAAAGTTTTTGACAATTGACGGTTTTATCTTGTTTTAACAGTCATGTAAAAAAAAAACTTTTGGCATTGTTTTTGACAATTGTCAAAAGTCATGAAATTTTGAAATGTGTAAACTGAATGACGTTTTCATACGCTACAAACTGACAATACGCCAAAATAGATTGGTGTTGAATTAATTATGAAAACGGTGAATAGAACAAGGTAACCTGTGACTTTTTGCATTATTCCTAGCGAAAATCAACATGGTAAAGGAAAACTCTCATTTTGAAAATGGGAAAATTAAGCTCTTCTTAAAAACACGCAATAACAAAAGCAACTTTAAAGGCTTTTAAAAATCGAAAATAAGCACTTTTTGAAAACGCTACGCTGTGAATACAAAGCTGCCAACTACTACACATTTTTTTAAATATTTTATAGAGTGGTAGATAATTAAAAACTAAATCTTTCAGAAGTTTTGATAATTTTGTCAACATTTTAAAAGCTGCACCGCGAAAGAGCAGTAACAAAGAACTGTGACATATGAACTTTCAAATTGTTTACATGGAGTGGTGTAAAAAATAACATAAAATCAAATTTAAAATTATACATTATTAAAATTAGACATGAAAACATAAATACCACTAGAAGACATTCTCCCTAAAAGCAAAGAAAGTAGACAGTCTCGCGAAAGGGGTCATATAAACAAATTATTTATTTGCCAGTTGGGCCAAAATAACTTCAAGTCAAATATATTAAAAAAAGAATCAAATATTCAAGTATAACTTTTGCCACAACAAGAAAAATCTTTTAACACATTAAAGCTAGTAATAGCCTGGTAATGTCAATTATAATACATAATAACTATTAATTTGCCAATATAAATTAAATACAGCAAGTTCAATCAAAAATTGAATTTAATCAGTAAGAAGAAATCTATAAACTAGGTACAAAGCTGTTTAAATTTTGAAAGCCTTACTTTTTGTGAATACATCTGCAGATTTGTGTTCTTTCTACTCTGAAAATGAGCTTTGAAATGACGCATACAGAAAGTATTTTTAAATTACGTCCAATAGCAGTTTCTCTATCTTTCAAAAAGACCTAAACACAATATTAGATTTTATAATAACTACATAAACAGAATAAATTAACTGTATACAATGATGGATATGATATATAAGCACAAAATATTGCTAGTTTTATGGTTAAAGTGTAATTTGGCCAAAGAATATAGGGGAAGAAGGCTAGCTTCCGTGGGCATAATGTAAACCAGTCAACCAAGGTTTGGTGTAGTTTATAAAGAAAAAACATAATTCAGGGTGCGTAGCCAAATCTTTCAACAAAAAATAAGCACTCAAAAAGTATTTTTCAAAGACTTAACGTGATCATTATAAAATAACTAGTTCTTGACAAATAATTCTTTTCTTGATTATAGAAGCCATTAAGCCGACCTGTGAAGCCATTGGCTGCGGGTTCGAATCCTGCTCTGGGCATGGATGTTTCTTTCTTGTGTTGTCCTCTCTATTATGTGTGAATATGGTCCACCCTATGAACGGGTTTGTGGCATGGGTAATGTTGCTCGCCTCCGTGACTTAGGTTCACAGGTGCCCACTGGGTAACGCGAAATGAGTAATACTTCCGGCATCTTCTCAGGCAAAGATTAAAATTCAAGTGCCTGCCATTCGAGGAAAAAAAAATATATTAGCCATTAAAAAAAGATCAAGAGATTTTTCGGTTCAATTTCAGAGGGTGGAAAATGAAGCTTGAAATTGAGAATATCTTGCAAAATGTAGTAGAGTTGCACGTGAGAGTGCAATAATCTCAGCTCACTTGACTCACAAGTATTTTATCAAACCTGTAAAATGATTGGCGCTTTCATAGAATATGGATCATATTTGTGTCATTAATTTCCCATGTCTTGACATACCTACTCACACAATCAATAAACTGTATGAGAAATCTAATTTGATATATTTTTCTCAGTAACTTATCAAATGTCAGGGAGTTTTTTAAAATGTAAAAAAATATGAATTGAAAAATTTATGAATATAAAAAAGATTTTTCGGAATACGCTCGAATACAGAGAGAAACTAGCAAAATCCAGATTAATTAAGCATTTTGTAAATAACTTTACAAAATCAAAATGAAGAAATCTCTTTTACAGCTAAATCATTAGTAATCACTATTTATCTTTCATGTGTACACTTAATCATCCAACGAACAAAAGAAATAATGTCATCTAGAGTATTCACTTTCCATCAGAAAGAAAATTATTCTTCTACCACAGACTTTGGAATAATTATATATCTAATATAAAATATTGTCATGTCTTGATATACCCACATTAAAAAATCAATTGATAAACTGCATTAAAAATGTAATTCGATAGATTTACAGTAATGTGTCGTCAGAAAGATTTTTAAAATGTAACAAAAAATTAGGAGAATTTTTAGAAAAGAGAAACTGGAAAAATCAAGATTTATGTACTTTGTAAATAACTTTACAAAATCACTTACTTTTACAGCTAGATCTTTAGTAATCACTATTTTCTTTTCAACCGTATAATCAGGCATCCAACGGATAAAAGAAATAAAGTCATCTAGAACATTCACTTTCCACCAAGAATTCAGTGTGTTAATCATATTCACATTTATCTTTAAAAAATTGAAAGAAAATTTTTCCTCTACCACAGACTTTGGAATAATTACATTTGATTCATTTAGAATAACTTCGCATAAACTTGGAATAGAATGTTCCTTTTCAAGGTCATCCACTGTAGAAGAAGATTCAGGCTCATTAATTGAGCAGTTTTGTAACGGTGTAAAATTCATTTCATTTTCAGCATTTTCTCTTTCTTTTAATAACATAGTAGTGTGCTGTACTGGAAGATTCTGTGCAATAGGATGAAAAACTATGCCTTCAAATAAGATGTTTTCTTTCCCTAATTGAATTGAAGATTCTTTCTTTTGTTTAGTTTCCTCTTCTGTAAAAAATAAAATACATACATTTATTAATGATTTAATTACTTAAAAAGTTTTTTTTTCCTAAAAAAACTTTTTTACTAAAAATTTTAAAAGAAACTACGTATATTCAATTTATTATCATTTGCATTGTTTATTAAAAAAGAACTAAGAATGGGTGATGTTAACTTTTGCCCAAGACAATTATAGGAAAAATTCATCTCATAATTAACTTAATGGTGATAATTTTTTATTTTGAGACCATATATTTAAACATACAAATACTTCCAAAAACGATTCAATGACATACAATTGACAAAATAGGGTATGAATTACAAAACTTTAGTAAAAAAGGATTTTAATTATTACAAGAAGAAGAAAATTTTTGGAAAGAGGGGGGCTGAGAAGGGGTAAGTGTTGACTGCCAGGGCCGGATTTAAGCTTTGTGGGGCCCTAAGCTACTGAAAATGATGGGGCCCTTATAAGTTCAATTCCATTTCTATACACCTTAAGAAAAACTGTCACTATTTTTTATTGTTGAGTATTAACATTATATTATTAAAAAATTTGATATTACTTTATTGTTAAATATATTAATTGTGATGAGACTATTATGTAGAACCTTTCTTTTATTGCACATATTTTTTGAATTAGGTGGAAAAGTTACAAAAGAAACGCATTTTAAGCACAGAGTAAAAATTTGGCGTGCTGGGCCACTATATATTTAACTGAGTTTTTTTTATTTTTAGATTCATTTTGAATATATTTTATTTGCAATTTTTAATGATTTTTTTGCGAATTTTTTTCTCAATTGTTTTTTCTTTCCGTAATAAAATCTATAAGGCTTAGAAACATGAAATTTTGAATGTGCGTTGAAAATATGTAAAGAGTTAGAAAGAAAACAACAAAATACAATTTGATTATTAGTTTCATTTTTTTTTATAACCGCCGTTGAACAACTGACTCAATTTTGGGTTTACGCTCTATCAACCATGCAATCCCGGCTAATTTATTAGTTTATTTTATAACAGTCTTTGCACAAACGACATAATTTCGAGTTTACGACTAGTAATATTCAACTCCGTAGCCTTGTAATTTTGAACCCAATCCAGAAGACTAGGGAACTGCTATATTAGAACCCAGAGGTATTTATTTGTTATGAGAACTTGGAGGACTTTGCGACCCCGACAGATTTAACATGCACCAGTCACCATTTTATATATGGGTATTCTTCTGCGGGCTGGATTCAAACTCCGATACTCACGAACCCGAGTCCAATGCCCTATCAACCAGGCTATTCTGGCCAAATTTATTAGTTTATTTTAAAACAGTCATTGCACAGCCAACCCAATTTCGAGTGTATGACTATTATTATTCAACTCTGTGGCCTTGTAATTTTGAACCCAATCCAGAAGACAAGGAAACTGCTAGATTTGTACCCAGAGGTATTTCTTTGTTATACGAACTTGGAGGACTTTGTGATCCTGACAGATTTAACATGCACCAGTAACCATTTTATACATGGGTATTCTTCTGCTGGCTGGATTTAAACTCCCATTCTCACAAACACAAATCCAACGCCCTATCAACCAGGCTATCCCGGTCAAATTTATTAGTTTATTTTATAACAGTCATTGCACAGCCGACCCAATTTCGAGTTTACGACTACTAATATTCAACTACGTAGCCTTCTCATTTTGAACCCAATCCAGCAGTCCCTGGAGCAGGTGAGGGCCATTATATTAATGCTGTTTGTAAAAATAAAAGGAACATTTCGTAAGTTGATATTATTTAATTGATGTTTATATTGGAAATATTTCTTCACTATTTTTGCTTTTTTTAAAATTATTTTAAGTACATTTGTTAAATTTTAGTGCAAGAAATTTTTTTTTCATTATTTATGTAAATTTTTGGCTTATATTTTTAAGGATTTATTAAAGAGTCTATTAAATATCAGAGAGAATAAATGTCATACGGGTTTAAAGTATCAGCTCTGCTCTTGATCGTGGCTAGGATGTGAAAGAGCAACTGTCCCGAGCATCCAGCCAAAACGAGCATTCAACGTATCAATGGAACACACTAAAACTTTATATCAATTAGCAATTAGTTTTAGATAATTACAATTGCAGAATAAGTATCTTATTATAGAATGAAATGTTTTAAAAGACAAATATCTGTTAATGTTTAACATTTAATCAACGAAAAAACAGAACCAATATTGAAATCTAACGAATTTATTATTTTTAATTACTGATAAAGTTTGTGACAGAAAAAAAAAATTAAAGCCTGATAGATTTCAGAATTTTAGAAACACCTTCTAGTTATACTATTCAATCAAATAGGTTTCGATGTCTTTCATCCCGGTCTCATTAGTGATTCAGCATATTTCGATATCATTTTTGTTTCGTTCTTACTTAATATTAATTTGTTTGCGACAGTTAATTTGTATACCTCTTTTACTACATTTTCGAGGAGTTTAAAAATATAATATTGAGGATTTTAACTGAAATGAAATTTGCTTTTTTTGTATGCCTCTTTTATTACGTCATCATCACACCCACACGCAACTGTCTACTCTAAATAATGCTATATAGAATGAGATAGCAAAACAAACGTGTGTAGTTATTTAAATTCTTATTCAAAAGTATTAGTTAATTTTTTTTTTTATTGAACTGACAATTTCTGTTCTTTTTTAGATATTTTAAATTGCTATTTAAAACTGCTGCATATCACATGAAAGCATTAAATATATTATTTGTACAATTTTAAAGTAAAATAAAAGGGAATTCTGATCCTTAGAAACAGATATTAAATAGTCTGATGATCGAATGATGGAGCAAAAAAAAACTAGTTTACCTTTTAAACTAAAAAAAAATATTTTTTTTACATTATTTATTAATACTCAAATTGCTTGAAAGATAATATGTTCCCTACTAAAGACAACAAAGTTTTTTGTTTTATTCAGCCATTTATCTATATTTATTATGTCCGACAATGTAAAAAAGAAAAAAAAGTGCATTTTGGGCTTCTGAGGGCCCCAGCTCCGATTAAAACTTTAAAAAAAAAGGGGGGAAAGTAGGATCAGGGCCCTTGTCATCTCGGGGCCCCAAGCCACAGCTTATTTAGCTTATACGTAAATCCGGCCTTGGTTGACTCGAAATCTGACGTAGGGTGGCGAAAAGAAAATATATTCATTGATTGACAAATATTTGAGCCAATTGCATCTTGAGGGAAAATTAAACCGATGACCATAACATTAAAATTATAGTTCAGCATTAACTTTCCCATAGTATTAAACGGTATTTACTCCAAACTTGAGAATTGTGATCTGAATAATTCTTTAAGTCTTTATGAATAATTCTGTATTTTTTTTATGAGGCTTATCTTTCTAGGATTCTAGCAGTTTTATTACATAAAAATATAATATATTATATATATAAAAATATAATATATTATATAAAAATAATATTACTATCATTATTACAATTATATTTTAGACAACTATAAGAAAAATGAGGCTGGAACAGCCTGACATTGGGCTCATGTTCGTGAGAATGGGAGTTCACATCCTCCCGGGCGAAGAATCTCCGTTAATTAAATAGTGACTGGTGCACTTATGTCGGTGTCATGAATTCCTCCCAGTTCACATAATAAATGCCTCTGAGGTACTGAATTGGAGATTGATTGTTTTCTGATTCAGGTCAAGATTACGATCTGCGGATGAATGAATAAAGTATGATTGGGTCCTCCCTGTCAAACGGGCCGTGTGGCTGAAATCATATTCTTAGGTATAGCTGGTACCACTGAAAAAACAAGAAACGCACCCTCTGCCAGGGTTGCAAAAAACCCACCTACCCAGCATAACAATGGGCAGGCTTTACTGGGTAAAACCCATTCTCTGAAAAACTCACCTTAAAGTGGGTTTTCTAATATTGATTTTTTTTTATCCTCTGTTATAGCAAAGAGCTATTCTATTGAAATATAAATGTAGTCTACCCTAAAGAAAATGTACCTATGGTAAAAAAACTAACAATAATCTGAAAAGAAAAATTTTTTGTGGAATTCATGAAGAAAAATGGATAGGTTTCATATAAAAAGCAAAATAATTTGACTATAAATCATACTACAATAAAAGTTATTTCATAAGGACTTTAATTCAAAATAAACACAGACAGAGGAAATACATTACAAATCAATCAGTGTTATAATTCTTAAATGTCTATATTTTAACACCTTTTGTACACGCAGTCTATTTCTCAATTTTGACCAAACCAGTCCATAAGTATAAAACACTCATTCCAGTTATGCAGAACTAGCTGGACATTTGCTTAGGGCAATCTGTCATATCTCTATCATTAACACGCATTTCAACCAATTTCCACCACTGTGGTGCACTGAATTTTTTGATTACATTAGCATGAAACATGCTTGAAAATATTTCTGGGTCTTTTAACTTGTCGCTCTTGAAGAGAATCAACCATTTTGGGTGTTCTGTTTCAAACCACTCTTCAGTTTTTTGTAACATATCAGAGGTTAATTTTTTTCCTGTATATTTAAGATCCATAATGTTTGCTAAATAATGCATTGGGAAAGCTCAACAGCAGTAAATATATGGGTTTTTTCTGCCTGCATCAGATTTAATACTTTGCTCCGTTCTGATAATTGTTTTTGCATGTGCAATGCGTTTTTATAAATTGCAACGTTGTCTAAAATCCGTATAACATTTGTAGGAATTGTTTCAGGTGGAATATGTAATCCACTTGTAGACTCAACAGCTAACAAATTATTTAGTTTTCACAAGTATATTCTTAGGATTGCTCAGAGATCTTTTTAAACACTTGTTTAGATGAGCTCTAAATCTTTCAATTTTTGCACTTATTTCTGTGTTACAGTGATTGCAAAAGCACTTCCGTTTATTCTCAAAGTTCCATTCAGTTACCTCCGACCATTCTGGAGCACTTCTTCTAACACCCCCATTAGACATTTTATCAATTTAAATTATGTATGAAAGCACAGTCACACTATACTAAATTGAACACCAGGGTTGGCAAGTTTTTGACACATAACGGTTTTTACCGGTTATTACCATGGTTTTTACCGTCATGTCAAAAACCCCTCTGTCAAAAACTGTCAAAAACCCATAGTTTTGGTAAAACTTTATTTTTATTTGAGTTTAACTGCTTATAATTTAAAATTAATAAATTTTTGGGCAATAAAATTAGAAAAAAAGTTGTTAAAAGATATTTAAGAACAGATTCTTGCATTTTCTCAACATGTTTATAGCAAAACATACTATTTGAAGTAAAATATTAGGATACTAAACAAAATTTTCAACATTTCCAAGCATCACTTTGTTTGGCATATTACATTACTGAAGAATGTAAAGATTGATTACTTTCATTCATAAAATCTTCCTTTGAGAAACACATGTACACATAAAAAGAAAGCCTCATAAAATAAACTTTTCTTATCATTTTTGTTTTCAATATTTTACACAGAAATGAGACATGAAAAAGCCTGGGAAATCCTTTTAGAGTTTCCTTGCAACATTGCAATAACCTTTTGTTATCATTATCCTCAATGACAGGCTTCCATTGACAGAATCTTCTTGAATTTTGGACTCATCCATACTAAACTCAGAAAGCGACTGAGCAATGAAAAAT